AGAGATGGGGACTCAAGATGGGGGCCAAGCTGGTCTTGAACTTCTGACCTCAAATGATCCACCCACCTCGGCCTCCCAAAGTGCTGGGATTACAGCATGAGCCACTGCATCCAGCCTTATTGTGGTTTTGATTTGCATTTCCCTTGATAGTTAGTGATGGTGAGTATTTTCTTCATGTATCTATTGGCCATTTGTACATCATCTTTTGAGAAATGTCTGCTCATGTTCTTTGCTCACTTGTTAATGGGATTATTTGTTTTTACTGTTGTTTGTATTCCTTATATACTCTGGATATTGGTCCTTTGTTGGATTGATAGTTTGTAGAGATTTTCTCCCATTCAACAGGTTTGTCTCTTCACCCTGTTGTTTCCTTTGCTGTGCAGAAGGCTTTGAGTTTAATATAGTCCCATTTGTCCATTTTTGGTTTTGTTGCTTGTGCGTTTGAGGTCTTAGCCACAGCTTCTTTGCCTAGACCAATGTCCTGAAGTGTTTCCCCCATATTTTCTTTAGAAGTTTTATAGTTTTGGGCTTACGTTAAGTTTTAACCTGTCTTGAGATTTTTGTATATGGTGTGAAATATAGGGGTCCAGTTTCATTTGTCTGCACATGGGTATCCAGTTTTCCCAGCCCTATTTATTGAAGAAGGTGTCCTTTCTCCATTGTATTTTTTTTTTTTTTTTTTTTTGAGACAGAGTCTCACTCTGTTGCCCAGGCTGGAGTGCAGTGGCACGGTCTCAGCTCACTGCAACCTCCACCTCCCAGGCTCAAGCCATTCTCATGCCTGTTCAGCCTCCTGAGTAGCTGAGATTCCAGGCAGAGCTGCCACACCCAGCTAAATTTTCTATTTTTAGTAGAAATGGGGTTTCCCGTGTTGGCCAGGCTGGTCTCAAACTCCTGGGCTCAAGCAATTTGCTCACTGCAGCCTCCCAAAGTGCTGGGATTACAGATGTGAGCCACCACACCAGGCCCAAAAACATTCTATTTTAACTTTTTTTTTTTCTAGACAGTCTTGCTCTGTTACCCAGGTTGGAGTGCAGTGGCGTGATCTTGGCTCACTGAAACCTCCACCTCCTGGGTTCAAGCAATTCTCCTGCCTTAGCCTCCCAGGTAGCTGGGATTACAGGTACCTGCTGTCACACCTGGCTAATTTTTGTATTTTGAGTAGAGACGGGGTTTCACCATGTTGACCAGGCTGGTCTCGAACTCTTGGCCTCAAGTGATCCACCTGCCTCGGCTTCCCAAAGTGCTGGGATTACCCACTGTATGTTCTTGATGCCTTTGTGACAATCAGTTGACCGTAAGTATATGGATTTATTTCTGAGTCTGTATTCTGTTACACCACTGGTTATGTGTCTGTTTTTATACGAGTACCATGCTGTTTTGGTTGCTATAGCCTTGTATGATTTGAAGTCAGGTAGTGTGATGCCTCCAGCCTTGTTCTTTGTGTAAAGGATTACTTTGGCTGTCTGCCATTGCCCAAAATGTAGATAATGTGTATATTAAAATGACATCTAGAACCTTCACACATCTAACACATATTCTCCATGCAACAATTGTGTGTCCTTTGAGGGTGAACTTAACTTTTGAAAGTGGCCTGATGTCACTTGTGGCCACATTGGGTGAAGAAGGAGAAGATGATGATCAGGCTGGATGACACGGCTGGCAGCTTGGCTTCACCATGATGAGACAGATTTTCCTATTGGCTCAGAGTGCATTTCCAAGAGAAGCTTTCCAGTAGGGCTCAAGTGGCGGCACCTCTGTCGAACTCTCTCCATCCATCATGTCAGTCTCCAACTTACATCTACTTACAGCCTCTTGACAGCCGCTTCCTAGGGCAACCCCTCATATTCCTGAGGGGTACAGGTCCCCAAAATTTATGCCTCCTGGATCTCCCTGGTCTTCTCTTCCCAAGCCCAGTTAGCTGCAGCCCGAAGGCCCTGCCACAGCTCAGGAAGGGCCCCAGCCCAGGAGGTGGTGGCAAGTGGAAGGCCAGCAGCCGCTCTGCTCCCTATTGTCCCCACTCCCTCTGCTGTCCCCATGTCACAGACTGGCCTAGGGGAACTGGGCAGCAGGGATGAAAGTGGTAGTGACCATGGCCCCCCCAGCCTGGTGCCGTCTTGCAGGGCAGGCCCCATGGCTCCGGATTGTGTAACTGGAGCACTCGCAGAGCCCCCTGCTGGTCCTCAGGCAAGGCGCTGCTCCACCATCGCCACTCGGTCACCATGAGGCCATGGGTCACTCCTGTCTCTGGGTCCTGGCCTCCAAACTGGCCAGATAATGATCCCAGGGCCTCACCAGCTCTGAGATTCAATGCTATCATAAGAGGAACAAAGCCCCCTGCTCTTAAAAGCCATCCCAACCGGGCACGGTGGCTCATGCCTGTAATCCCGGCACTTTGGGAGGCTGAGGTGGGCGGATCACCTGAACTTGGGAGTTCGAGACCAGCCTGACCAACATGGTGAAACCCTGTCTCTACTAAAAATACAAAAATTAGCCAGGTGTGGTGGCAGGTGCCTGTAATCACAGCTGCTTGGGAGGCTGAGGCAGGAGAATCGCTTGAGCTTGGGAGGCAGAGGTTGCAGTGAGCCCAGACAGTTCCACTGCACTCCAGCCTGGGCAACAAAGTGAGACTCCGTATCCAAAAAAAAAAAGTCATGCCCCACCAGTTCCAGCTACAGACCCTCACATGATCTGACATGGGCCTGTGGATTGAGTGTTCAGTGCTGAGCCCTGTGTGGCCACTTCACAGAGCTGTTTTTTTTTTTTCACAGTTTCTATGTCTGGAACTGAACTGAAAGTTTACTTAATTCAAGAAAGTTTCTCTGGTGGAAAGCTCTGTTGAGGTTAGAGGATCAAAAGGACACTTTGGGGACTCTTGCTGATGATGGGCTCTGCTCTGGGGATTCTCAGCCTAGGTGGTCACAGAACCCAGCTTGCCATAAATACCTGCCGAATGGTGGGGACTTCCTAATGTTCCTTCGTCCTCACCTGCCCTTTGGGGCCCATGACTTGATCCATGGACTCCATCCATATTGTCCTGGGGGAAACTCCAGGCCTGGAGTCAGGGGCAGTGGAGGGCAAGGATTTGGGTTTTCTCATATTCCAGTTTGTTGTCTCCCATTGATTTCAGGCTCTACACAGAGAACAGAAGGAGCTGGTTGCTGTGCTGAGGGAGCCTGAGTGAGGGGACGGCCAGGCCCAGAAGCAGAGGGCAGTCAAGGTCAAGAGCCTGTGGTCCAGCATGCCTGGCCTGGGCGGGCTGCCTCTGAGAACGGCTGAAATGGTGCCCAGTCCCTCAGCAGTGATGGCATTTGGTGGAGGACTAGGCCAGAACAAGCCTCACTGCCACTGTGCCTTTGGGGCACCCTTGGGGTTAGACACATACCCCGTTCAGATTCCTGTGTCTTCTACCTGGATAATTCTTGGCCATGCTTTCTCCTGTTGGTTCAGGTCAGCTCTGCCCCTCTGCCTGCTCCTGCTGGCTTCTGAGCCCTTTTCCCTGGGCCTGGCTTAGAGAATCTGTTTTCAATCTCCACTGATTGCCCCCTTGCTGGCCAGCCCAGGGCCCTTACCATGTCCTCCCCACATCCGTAAATAAACTTCCTCTACCGCACTGTCATCTGTGAGGACGCTTCCTCTGCCCAGGCCTCTTGGCTCCCAAATGCTGGCTCCAGTCAAGGCTTCAGTTGTGGTCCTCTGGGAACGTCCAGGCTGGGGTAGGTTGGCAAAGAGCTTACTAGACCATCACGTGCAGACAGCAGCAGAGCCCCTTGTACAAAAACCAGGACCCCCAGGTTCCCTTTGGCCAGGATGAGCCACCAAAGAGGTGTCACTCTTGGCATCCTCCAAGAATCACTATGGCCGGGTGCGGTGGCTCATGCCTGAAATCCCAGCACTTTGGGAGGCCGAGGTGGGTGAATCACCTGAGGTCAGGAGTTCGAGACCAGCCTGGCCAACATGGGTGAAGCTCTGTCTCTACTAAAAATACAAAAATTAGCTGGGTGTGGTGGCACGCACCTGTAATCCTAGCTACTCGGGAGGCTGAGGCAGGAGAATCGCTTGAACTCGGGAGGTGGAGGTTGCAGTGAGCTGAGATCGCGCCACTGCACTCCAGCCTAGGTGGCAGTGCAAGACTCCGTCTCAAAAAAAGAAAAGAAAAGAAAAGAAAAAGTAGGAAGAAAGGTTACGGTGTGAGAGAGACATTGTAGATGGA